GGGGCTGTGCCCATTCTCTGGGGAGCCTGGGCAGTGCCCAGCACCCTCTGGGGGCAGAACCTTTGTCTAAAACCCAACCTAAACCCTTCCCCGACACAGTTCCAGCCATTCCCTTGGCAGTGATGGCCTCCGTGGTCACCGGCCCAGTCCAGCCTCCAGCTGGCCCTTCCAGCCTGCTCCAAATCCAGGTGGTCTGGGCTCCTGCCGGGGCAGGGTCTGTGCTCTCCCAGTCCCCCTCGGTGCTGCTGTTGTCCTTGTCTCCTTTAATCCCCAGTAATCCTTCCCTGTGTTTTTCCTTGCAGGCCGCGCCCGGAGCCTCTTGTCTCTGTGCCGCATAGCTGTGCGGAGAATCCTTGGCAAATCCCGCCTGGATCTGATCCGTAGCCTCCCAATCCCTGACCCCATTAAACAGTTTTTACTCCACGAGCACAGTTAAAGGGCGGCTTTTGGGGACAGTTTGACTTGGAAAATGAGTGCCCTGACAGAGCCAATCCTGCCCCTTTCCCCCTCATGGAGTGCACATCATTCCCTGCTCCTGTGAGGTTTTTTTTCCCCCTACAGATTTAGGATGCAGTGATGCCGTGTGTCTTATTTCCCTGGGGAGAGGCTGCTAAACGTGTGCGCTGCAGTAAATACAATATATCCTGTAGCTGTTGGCAAATGTGTAACCTCTGTTACTGATCTGTGTCACACACATATACCTGGGGTCTCTGTGGCATTTTTGTGTGGAAAAAGAGTCCCTGCTTTACTATTTTTCCCATCACAGCACATAAAACCAGAAGTTCCTACCTACATTTTACTTCATATCCCACGGTAAGACCAGAGAAAACGCACCCAGATCCACGTAACAGGTCTGTTTTGTTTGCATTGTGAAAAAGGGAGGAAAAAGGGGGTTTTTTGAGGAGCTGGGAGACCTTGTGCCTCTAATCACAGCATTGCATCCAGCAGCCTGGGCTCCTTTGATTTCCAGTGCCTCTTTGTGCCACAAACTCCCTAAAGAGTAATTCTTCAGGGGGCCAGCTGCCTTTTGTTGGGATCTCAGGGTCAGCCCGTGACGTGGTCAGTGCGGAGGAATTACTGTCAGAACAGCAGCTTTAGTAGGAGAGAGATGATGGTGCCTCAGGAGCTTGGGAAAAATCTCAGGTGATAATTGGTACTTGCTTTAACTTCACTGATTCAAGTAAAGTCACTGTGTTATGAGTTTATTTTTTTTGGATGATTTTTCTTTGCTTGCTCTTCTTCCTGTGCTCATCCAGTTGGCAAAGGCAATTTTCCAGATGTGACTTTAAAAATCAGAGAATCCCAGCCTGGTTTGGGTTGGAAGGGACCTTAAAGCCCACCTAGGTCCAAGCCCCTGCCATGGGCAGGGACACCTTCCACTACCCCAGGTTGCTCCAAGCCCTATCCCTGGACCCTCAACACTGGTTCCAAAATGTTCTTTTCCCAGAGGCATAAACAAATGCAAAAACAAACCAAAGCAGAGGATGTTTCCAGACCTTCTCCAGGTGAGATGCAGTGGACGTGGAGCTGTGGGCAGGTGAGGAGGGGAAGTTCTGCACCGTTCCCTTCCCAAGCCTGCAGCTGGTTTCGGTTTTCCCGGCGCTGGCAGCGAGTTGTGCACTGGCTTTATAGAGGTGTGAACATGCCTGGGAGATGCAAACAGGTTGTAAAGCCTCTTGGCACCTTGCTGGGGGATCCATAATGGTTTGCAGGAGCTCACCGTGCTCCCGAGCCCCAGTACAGGGAGGAGGAAAATGAGATGGGCTGTCTGGAGAAAGTGCCTTTTGGGGTTGGTTTTACCCTGAGGATTTATACTTGGTTTGTAAATGGGACTCGCAGTTGGGGTGAAGGTGGTAGGATGGATGTGGGGAGAGCTGGAAGAAGCCACAAGGATCATCCAGTCCAGCTCCTGGCCCTGCACAGACACCCCAACAATCCCACCCTCAAGACACGCACCCTGTGCATCCCGGAGAGCGGTGTTCAAATGCTCCTGGAGCTCTGGCAGCCCTGGGGCTGTAAGCCTTGCCTGTTCCTGTGCTCAGCCACTCTCTGGATGGTGCTTCCACCTGGAATGAGCTGCAGTGAAATGCCTCCGTGGGAATGCCAGAGGGTGGCCCAAGGAAATGGAGAGAATCGGCTCAACTCAGTGCTTGATGTAAGTCTGGTCTATAATTAAAGCTGAGCCTGTTACAATGTTAATTAGAGATCCTATCCAAAGGATTCCCCTGAGCATGGATCTCTCCAAGTGTAAGGATGATTCTCCCTGCCCAGTAGCAAAACAGCCTGAGGTACATCAGTGACTTGGAGATGTGCAGAATCAAAGATTTGGAGTGCCTGGATCATCCATCCAACTTCTGTCTTCACTGAGGGACTTTGCCTCTGGAAAAAGTCAAACTTTTGGCTTGAGGGCCTGGAATGAGTCCAGCTTGGGGACAACTCACATAAAATTAAGTTGTGAGTGCATAGGATTCTGTTGGGATGGAGTCCCTGTGGAACTTGGTTGCTGCTGATTGGACAGCTTTGCTGAGCTGGTTTAATACACAGAGAATTTGGAATTTTCACTGGAGAGAGATAATAATCTTGAAATAGATTCAGGATATTCATAGACTTCATTGTCCTGTCCTATAAAGCCAAACCCTACACCCTCTGCCTTGCCCTGTCCTTTTAAACCCAGGATATAATAGTCTTCCAGTGTGAAATCTCAAGAATTCATGCATTTCTATCCTTTCACACCATAAAAACAGCATTTCTTTTTGCCTTAGCTTGGACTTCACCCTCCCCCACTAGGTACAAAGCACTCCCTTTAGTAAAGGTATTTTTTCCCATGTTGTCTATGGGGCATGCTCGGATAATGTGAATAAAAATTGAGTTTTGGATGTTGTGGGTGGGAAATTAACCATTCCTGCAGTGTACATCTCATCCATTGAAAAATTCCCCCATTCTATTTGTGCAGAATATATAAAGTGTGTATGGCATGGCCTTGCTGGAAGCTTGAATGGGACAGGAGAAGAAGATTTGGAAAATCCCTGAAGAACGAAACCAAACCTAGAATCAGCCAAGATGCTCCAAAGCTGTCTTTTCACCTTGGCTTTCTTGTCTTTGTTGCTAGGGGAGGATTTCCAGGATGTGGAATGCTGGGATCCAAATATCATTTCCTGCTCATTTTGCAAAAAGTGGGGGAAAGGCATCTGGTGTGGTGAAGTAGTTTTTTGGTTGGTTTTGGAGGGCTTTTTTGTTTCTTGTTCTTTAATCCCTGAAGTCAAGTAAAGCCCTTTTTATCCCAAACCAGCCCTTGAGTTACGGTACCTTTTTAGCCCTTCCTTTTCTTCCAGTGAAGAAAACCGTGGCAGGACACGACAGACGGGACAAAATGCCACTTCCAGAAGTGCCCACCAGCGCCTGTTGGCTTTTCCCAGGGTCAGAATGGTTTGGGACAGGATCAGACCTGAGGGCAGGTGGGAGGTACCTGTGCTGGGCCTGGATCCACGTCCAAATAAAGATAAATATTAAACTCAATAAAGATACTCCTGTGCAAAAGCACGGAGGAGGATGGCTCTGGATTTGGGAAAGCCTGGATCCTGCCGGCCTCTCCCTGTTCTGTAGCCACTGGAGGGGGCCGGAGAACCGCGGTCCCTGCGTGGGGACCCGATGCCCGATGCCACCTCCTGCCTTGCCCCTCCTGGGCGATTTTCAGGGCATTCTCAATTTTTTCTGCCCTCACACTGGGCTGAAGAGGGCTCTTTAAACCTCTCATTTCTGCTTCTCCTCCCTTGGTAGCTCTGGAAATGCAGCTCCTCGCTTTGTCTTGGCATGCAAGTAGATGTAATACCTCAAAATATTTAGATTCTTATAACTTACCGTTTTTTTATTTTCTGGCATTTTCACTGGAAGTCTCCCTACAAGCTTGAGCAGCAAGAATTTCTGCTGGTTGCTCTGTTTTTCCTGAGGATTAGCAGGTGTACCTGAGGATTTAGTCCCTGCAGCTGCCTCCAGGCGAGGGCACAGTCCCCTTTTTAGGATTCCTGCTTTTTTCACTCGGGAGATGTTTGTCTGATCTGGTGCCAGCGTTTCCTCTGAAGGCAAAACCAGAGTTTTTCCTAAATTGGAAGAAAATGATCAAATGGTCTGGAATTATGGTGATGAAAAACAAAGCTGAACAAGCCCTAATCTTAAATTTTACCACTTCCAGCCTCACTATCCTTCTAATTTGGAGTGTCTCCCTCTTGCCTGTCCATGCATCTCCCCCCCAGGCCACCCCAAATTGGTTCCCACTAGTCAGTGGCAACATCTCTGTGCTGGAGCTTGGAACTGGAGATTTATCCTCAAGCAGGAGACACCTATGTGTCCGAGCTGCCAGTTTGGGGACAATCAATGTGGAATTGTTTAAAGGAATTGCATGTTATTTACCTGTCCCCTCCAGGACAGACACGCTGGGATTTCTGGTCCCCTCTCACTGAATTTCCTGTGTGGCAGACTCACCTGAGAGCCTGTCCTTGCTTTATATAACAACATTGCAGCACATTCCTTATTACTCACGCTCGTTAATCTTGTTCTAAGATCTGCAGCAGCAAGGAAGGATTTCTTCTTGTGCTGTGTGATGCCCAGATACTCACTCTGGGCTATGAGAACTGACCAAATCTCTGGCAGTCTCAAAGCATTTCCTCTAGGATCTGTTGTTCCCACTCCCCAGGTGCTGCTTGGGAAGCCCCAAGTTATTTAACTTTTTGTTGTTATTCTTCCCCATCAGCTCCTCCAGCCTTGTCTTCCTTCTCGGGGGAGCTCTTCGTGACCCCTGCAAGCTGCAACCATGAAGAAAAAGAAAGAAAAGGGCTGGGGAAGAAAAAGAAAGAAAAGGTTCTGGCTGCCCCATCCCTGGAAGTGCTCCAGGCCAAGTTGGACAGGGCTTGGAGCAGCCTGGGATAGTGGAAGTTGTCCCTGCTCATGGCAGGGGATGGGATGGAATGGAATGGACTTTAAGGTCCCTTCCCACCCAAAACTGTGATTTCATGGAGAGGACAGTGGCTGCCCAAGCCCTGTCCCCCCCTCCAGCCCTGCACAGTGACAGGAGGCTGCAGCCCCCACAGAGCTCACTCTCCCACCTGCACCTAGCACTTTCCCCACTCTTCCCTCTGCATCCAGCGCTTTTCTCCCCCAGCACACGTGCGCTGTTCTGTTTTCCACCTCTTTTCGCTTGTTTTGTTGGTTCCCATTGTTCGTGCCTGGGAGAGGGCTGCAGTGTGCTGTTGTTTACAGGAAAGTGCTCTTTGTTTCCCCGGCGTGGAGCATCTGGTGTTTGTGAGAGGCACGGCGGAGCTTTCCAACAGAAACTCAGCCAGCCCGAGTGTGCCTGGCCAGGAGTCCACGTGTGCCACCACGGTCTTGCTCCTAAAAAGGTTTTAAAAACCCCAAACTGAGACAAGCCAGGCTGGACAGGGCTTGGAGCAGCCTCGTGGAAGGTGTCCCTGCTCATGGCAGGGATGGGTTTTCAGATCTTTTCCAGCCCAAAGTGCTCTGTGGTTCCGTAGTCCAGCACGGGCAGATAAATAAAGGCAGGACGGGTAGGATGGAGCAGGACAGTGTCATTGATTTATGGCTCCTGCCGTTCCCCCCAAGGCATCAGGATGATGGACGATCCGTGCACACTCCCCTCCCCGTGGCACG